TACATTCTATTTTTCAAAACAAATAAAAAATAAGAAGGCACCCAAAAGATGTCAATGCGAAGAATTGAAGGAACTATACCCAGCGTTGCTTCAAAATAAAGATTGGTATAAAATTAAAGTTTTTGTACAAAATCAATATTCAAAAAAAAATAAAATAAATAAAATAAATAATTGTGTGCTCGAAAAGCGTTTTATTTAGTACATGAACCACCAATGATTTTTTAAAGAAACGTCGGCATGCTGTCGAGGGTAGACTGACTCCTTCTAGATTTTTCCTCGGTTAGGTATGGTCGCTGACAACCAAAATCTGTGGAGAAGAAATCCAGCAGAAGTCAATGTACAACCAGCTTTCCCTAAAAAAGCAAAATAATGCGCTGAGTAGAACTATCTAGCGTAGGCCGTCGCTATCTCGAATTAAATTGCTGCCGGTGAGATTTAGTTGTCATTCAATGAATCATGTTAATTCATGAGAGCTCCATAAGACATCAACAAAAAAAACAATTGAATTAGGACAAATGGTGGATTGGTAATGCCTCAGTGTGCTGACAGTGTGTGAGAATGGGACGAGTGGTAACCTGACATGTTTTTGTCACAGCCGGCATTAGCACCACACCACCCGCAATTCGTCTGCTTTTTATGACTATATGTATGGTCCTAATATATCAAAAACTGACATGTAGAATATTTTGACTTGCACATTTTTTTATATGAGAGTAATACGTTTGTTATCTTTCTCAAGTACTATACAGTTCATCAGGAGGTTTATTGTGCACCCACCTACGTGGTTACGTGCGAAGTAAATATTATAAACTTGGCAACATCTGTGGACGCAAAATAATCTTATAATGTGCCGTATATTCCCCCTCCAGAAGAATACGGATGCAATTTGTTTTAGCATATAAAAGAAAATTATACAAAAAGGACGCAAATTAGATATTTTGTACTGGATGTAAAAAGTTGTGCAACTTGAAAAAAAATGTATATTTAAATTTTTGTGTTTTCGGAAAATAAAGTACATTACGTTTAACCTATTTTTTTTCTCTTCAATATACATGCAGTACATATAGTGTAGCATGCTTAATTGCAAAGTTGCAGAATAGTCGCAAAGTGAAATGATGCAAAATAACCGCGGGATGTAAAATATATATATATATATATATATATATATATATATATATATATATATATATATATATATATATATATATATATATATATATATATATATATATATATATATATATATATATATATATATATATATATATATATATATATATATATATATATATATATATATATATATATATATATATATATATACACTATATTCCGGGATATCATCCGTTCGCTTGTTGAAGAACTCCGACTGGAATCCTGCATCCGACTGGAAGCACTTCGAAGTGTTTTCGGAGCGCGAGCATTCTGCGTATAAAATGGCAATAAAACCACCCACTTTAGAATAACCGAGATGCGAGGGGCGTTGCATTGTTCGCATCATTTTTCTAAATTTAATAATGTCTTCTTTGGTTATTTCGTATGTGTGCACGTAATCAAACACAATGAGTTGTGACTTCTCGTAACTTTCTGTATCAGAGCACGGATCAAAACAGTCGAACAAGTACTCGCAAACAAAAAGCAAATTGACCGAGAACGGCACCACGACAATTCAAGCATGTAAACCGAATTAATAACACATTAGAATAATCTTATTGAAAAAGTGTCGGGCGATTTTTCTAATTTAACGCTCCGCGGATTGCCGGAAACCGATTCATCTCTTTACGAGATACGCGTTTTTAACGCTGCGCCAAATTGAAATTATTTTTTCACTTACCACCGTTACCGTTTCTTTCTGCTAAACCCGACAATACAGTTTCATAACTAGAAGGTAAGACGCGGTCAACTGGAGTTACTTTGACATAGTTTTCAAAGCTTTTTATAGTGACGTTTTTCACCATAATTATCGAACAAGTTGGTGCTTATGCGAGCCTTAACATCAATATTGTAATAAACAACTTTTCAACACCAGTCCTTTTAAAAATGCTGTTTCTTTCAAGGAAAGGTTTTATTTAATAGAATTACAATGAGGGAGAGGCATAATTTGGTAGAATGATAATAATTCGTTAGTTAAACGTAAACAGGTACTAATGAAACGCGTAAACGCAATGTTTTAACTAGTGGACAAAAAATGGATATTTTAAAACAATTTGAAAATAACATAAGCAGTGTTGCTGTGTTGGCTAAAACATATAAAGCCGAATTACAGAGCCTTGTAGCCAAAGTTGACAGTGTAAAAGCTATTATCAGAAGGACCTATGTGTTCTTGGCAAGTCTTGCCCGGGCAGTTGAAAATTAAAGGAAACTTTTGGACATCTTCTGGTTCGCTCTATATATTTAAAAAACTGTGCAAGCGGAGAAATTAAGTGCCGATGAAGTAGGTATAGTAGAATTTTGCTGTGGTTTAGAAAATCCTATAACAGAGCATGAACTTAAATCTAAGCAAACGTATAGTGAAGATAAAACTGGACTTTGTTGGAAAACTATACTGAAAAGAATACACGCTTCAGACTTGAAAACTGGTACATCAGGTTAGTTTTGGCTGTCAATGTTTTTAATATTTTTTTAGGTTTCAAAGTAAGCAAAGACCGTTTAACAATTTTATGCTGTGCTAATGCATCAGGCACCCATAAACTTAGGTTAGCCGTTATTCAAAAGATCGAGTAATTTTTAAAAAGAGTTTTTTTTTTTTTAAATGTATACCCCAACTTAAAACTTATTCGCAAGAAAATAAGCTTTCACCCAAGGCTATACTATTACTGGATAATGCGCCATGGTATCCTGAAGCAGATTAACCAAAGTCAGCAGATGGGAACATACTCGTAGTGTATTTTTTCCTACAAATGTAACACCTATTGCCCAGCCGATGGACCAAGGTGTTATAGAAATTATGAAAAGACTTTATACGAAAGACCTTGTGCTTCAACTGTCGGGAGAATGCGATTTTATAGGGTTGCGGAAACGTCTAACTTTCAAACAAGCAATTTATGCTGTAGCTCGCGCTTGGAGTGGAGTGAAAGAGACTAATATTAAGAAAGCATTTTATAAAATATTGATCTTAAATAGAGGTGACTTCTGTAACTTCTTCGCAAGTTAAAGGTTTGAAAGAAATAAAAAACGAAAATATACATGAATGAATGGAATGTGACCACAAAGAAAAAGGCATCAGATGATGGTTGACCATTATGCAAATAACCAGACTTATGCAGAAAGTTCTAGCAAAAATAGTCATGACGATGAAAATAATTACTTCATCAAGATGAGTTATCGAATGAATGTTCTTATCAAATATTTTGAAGAACAGTCTGAAAATGAAGGAAATTATTAAGAACTCTAAAACAAAATTTGTGATTTTTTAATTGATTTTTTTTTACTCAATATGTATATACATTGGAGGTGTGTTCAAAAAAGTAAGGCGACTTTTGAAATTGGGAGAGCTACGTACATTCAATCTCCGATATTTTTTTATTATGTTGGTACTCATGTCCCTAACATATGTTCACAGTTTCAGACAGTTTGCAGTTTCATTTTTTTTTGTGATTTTCTGCTATCAAAAAAATGGAACAAAGAATTTGCACAAAATTTTGTGTAAAAAATGGAATACAGTGCTGCAAAACATTTGAAATGTTGACAACGGCATATAGTCAATCTACTTTGAGCAAAAAAAACGTTTATAAGTTGTACAAGCTGTTCCAAGATAGCCGAGAAGTCGATGACGAACCTCGCTGTGGACACCCCAGCACGTGAATAACTGATGAAGACTAAAAAACAAATGGTTTTGAAAAATCATCGAATAACTATTAGACAACTGGCTGAAGACGTCAGCATCTCTATTGGCTCTTGCTATGCAATTTTTTCCGAAATTTTGGGCAAAAAAATTGCTTAATCTTCATCAAAAGAGCTGTTTAATGAAGTCAATGATGATACTGATATGCCGAAAAAGGTCCTAACTGATCACGAATCATAGGTATATGGTTATGACGTCGAAACCAAAACCCAGAATCGACTAGACCGAAAAAAGCACATCAAGTTCGATCAAATGTCAAGGTTTTGCTTACTTTTTTCTTTAATTATCGTGGCGTAGTTATCAACAGTTTTTACGACAAGGTCGTAGGTCAATAAAGAGTATTACCTTGAATTTATGCACCTACTCACTCATCGTTGCTTGTGTCTAACTTTTTGGCCAAAAACAAAACCAGAATCATACCTCAGCCACCACATTCACCGGATATAGCCCCCTGCGACTTTTTACTGTTCCCAATTACAAAAATCACCTTACTTTTTGAACACTCCTCGTATTCATAAAATTAGAAAAAGGAACATTTCCGGGGTGCTGTCCTGTGGTACACTCCTATACACCAACTATAACTTACTCCAAATTTAATTTGTAGTTAAAAAACAAGCCTGTAACTTTTAGTTTTTTTTTTCATCCAGTTTATGAATAATGAAGTTTACTATGTGTGGACTTACCTTTTTGGAAGTCGAACTGATCCTCAAATAAGCTATTGAACTTATTAAGAAACATGGTAAGTCCAGTGCAATAAAAAATTATCACTTTTAATGTTATTGTATGGATTAAGTTTTGTTTGGGTCAACTGTTGGGTGTTTTTGGACTTCATGAAAAAAATCTTTGAGAACCTATAACACCTTGCGGTACATTTTTTGATAAAGCTTCCAGTATAGCACATCTCTAAAGGACACAAGAAATAAAGTGATTCATTTTATCCCCTCCATATAATAATTCTTTATGTTGGCTGCAGATTTCTAGGCTTAATTCCAAGAATTTGTCAGATCTCCATTATATAATTTGGAACCTACTGTAGCATGTAGTTAATATGTATATGAGAGCATTGCCACATAATTTTTGATACATCTGCACAAGTTTTAAGAAGTTTAAATAATTATCTCAATATTTACTGTTTCTTGCATTATGGAATAAAATTTCTTAAAAGGAAATGGATGGGTTTACAATTTATTGACTAGTCAATATTACATGATAGAAACCCTAGATGACATCTACCTATAATATGCAAAGGATATAAAAAAACCTAATATAAAATAAATATAAATAAATAAGATTTGCACACTGTAGCTTAGGCGTTTAAAAATATTTTCTATAAATAAATGATATCTATAAAATTGCAAGTTATGCATTATACAAATCTTAAAACTCTTGGGACTCTAAATCTTTATAGAATTTTGGCTAAAACCGACCTTTTAACTACATGACCTTAATAAAGAAAAAGAATTGTATCTTGGACTTTCCAATAAATAGACCTCAATTTACAGCGGTAAAAAGAAGTTTCCCGAACAGGGTGTCTTTTATGAATTCATTATATTTTACTGAAAAATATGGCACTCGATAAATGGAACAAATGGATTCAGTCCATGAAGTCTGAATAAATTGCACATTTGAAATTATATTTTTTGTACTAGAACCACCTATAGATGGCTTAAACAATGCTTCTCATCACAGAACAAAAAATAAAATTATCACAATAAAGAGTACAACTATTAAAATTATAATAGCCATCCACTGCCTCCGCTCTGAAAAATTCTGAAAATTACTTAACTGCGGTGAAATTGCAAATCGTCTTACCATTAGATATTCTCAAAACTTTGGCAACTTTCTTCATGGTTGTATCTAGCTTAGACTCTGTATTTTCGAGCTCAGTACCAAATTCATCAAGCATTCTAAAAATTACCCTTGTACTAACACAGAAATTGCTAAATTCAAGAAACTCACCCTGCCTGTTCATCCAACTCAATGCCTATATGCCTCGAAACTGTTTTTAATGACCCTAGAGAATCACTAATGGCTTCTAGCTGCTCATCTTGATTTTGAATTTCCTGTATTTGCTGCCGGTGTATGAATTGATGCTGTGGACTTTCAATTTCATTCTCAAGTTTAGAATATTTGGCACTGGAGTGCATATTGCCTATTCTTATTGGACTTCCATTCAACAAAGGCTGCAATATTACGAGTTTAGTTTGGTATAAAAGTTTGTTCTATTATTATTTTACCTGTCTTGACATTAAATCTCGTTCACGGTGTTTATTCATGTTAATCCTATCTTTCATTGACTACAACCATTGAAAAATTACGAAACTCCTAACAGAAAATACAAGCGCTCACCTGAACTTCATTTTTGGTAGAATCAATGAAGTGCCTCCTCTTTGTTAATTCCTTGTTGTCTATTTTAAATTTTGTTGGATTTTTTTCAACAATATGTAATAAAATGTTAAGAAAGTACACGCTAAATAGTATGGCAAACTGTTAACAGTCTAGAAAAGGATATCAATAGTGTCTTCCAAATCTTCCAAATCCCATTCAATACTTCGCAAGGAATTTTTCAATTCTGTATTGGTCCACTCAAGCTCCTCTTTAGTTACCAAGTCGGACTCCTTTTGAAAATCAATCCAGCGCCGATACAAACCCCTGGTTTTTTTCAAAGCACGAAACACCTCACTACAACAGACTTTCTCAGACATATAGCGACATTGAGCATATTTCACTGGCGTGTGATTACTTGCAACCGAATACCTATGCACTTCTAACGCAAACAAAAAATCAAGACCTGGCCAATCTTTGCATGCAAAAGACGCAAGCGAACACCTCCTTACTCTTTCACTACAAAAAATGGGTCCTCCAATGTCATGTTAATGAATGTGGCGAATTATGGTTTACTCTTAATGCATTTCCGTCGCGGACAGACAATATTTATTTCCCCATCAACATTTAAAATGGCCCTTCTTTCATTTGAGAGTGTATTTTTGATCCCCTTTGTCACATTTGACATATTTTACCTTTGACATCTGTCAATTACCGAAATACTTCATCTTTTTTCTACTTGTCGACAAATTAATAAGAAAACTCGGCCAATTCGCAAAATAATCATTTTTAAATGGATCATGTGATGAAGGACATGGCAGATTAACTAACCCAGTGTTATGTTATTATGTTAGTAAAAGTTTTATACTGTTTTATCGCCTTTTTTTCATCCTGGTCAATATACACCTGTCAAAAGGTGTATATTTGTTATGATGTGGACGGTGTTAGAGGTTTAGGATAATGTATATTCTAAATAAATAAAGATAACAAAAATCGCTATAGAAGCGAATGATCAAAACATTTTCGTTCGAATGAAGAATTTAACTGTGCTTAGACCATCCTGACGTCAGATTTCTAACCTATAAAAGGTTCACAGTTGGTTCATATTTTTTTAAAGGTTTTAAAATGGCTGAGGAGGCAAACGTGTCGGAGTTTGTGAAGTTAGGTTTAAGTGAACAAAAAGCTCGAGAAACTACAAAAAATGCGGCTGTGACAAACACTCTGCTGGCAATTGTAAAAGAGGTATCTAATTCACTAAAATGATATAAAAGGTGAGTTAAGTTGATTAATATAATTTTAGGTGAGACAAGTGGCTCTATCAGATGGAACAGGAATTCTCCTTTATCATCTGGCAACAAGAATTAAACCTCAAATTCACCACCACCTTCCCCTTCTCATTAAATATGTCGTTTCAAAGAAATTGGACTCTACTATGCGTGTTGACAAAGCAATAGAGTTTGCCTTGAATAATATTAAGAGTTTGGACACAAATGATTTGGAAAAGTACTGCGGAGTGGGTGTGCTTGTTACGCCGGAAGAAATCGAGAAAGTGGTTGATAAACATATATCTGAAAATAAGAAAGAAATTCTAGAAAAAAGGTACAAATTCAATGTTGGACCCCTAATGCAAAAAATTAAAATTGAGTTGCCTTGGGCGGAAGGGAAAGCAGTTAAAAGTGAAGTCGACATTCAATTGTTGGACCTGCTGGGCCCAAAAACTGAAAGTGATTTCACACCTTTGCAAAAAAATGACAACAAAGGCTCAAAACCACAGAAAGGGAAGCAAGAGAAAGTAGTTAAAAGTATCATAGCAAAAAAAGAGGAAAATAATGGTATGATAGATAATAATTTTTGTTTCTTAAAATATTGGGTGGTCCAAATTATAGTGGAGAACCTTTAACAGTGTATGCAGCAGATAAAAGTTTAAAAAATTCATGTAATCAAATTTAGAACCTATTATTGCCACTTAAAAACAAATTTACACCATAGGTAAATTTTTTGTTTCACCAGTGGCTTTTGTGAGACAGGTTTAATTAATTTAAATTAAAAAAAAAAGTGGTATGCCAATTAGGTGCACATACAAACAAAAATTTTCTCGAAAACGATTTCTTTTAGGACAAAAACTGAAGACAACCCTCTCATTAACGCCACTGGACAAACAAAAACAAATTTATCTGTTCCATACATTTTTTTTGTTGCAAAAATACCTCCAAAGTTTGAAAGTAAAATCTAGAAGAAATTTTTTAAATAAATGAAATGCAATTTTTTTGAAGCATTTTAGGGCATAAGGTTATCTGAACTATTTTATTTATTTTTACCAATAAATAATAAACAATAAAGCCATCTTTAAAGTTTCTCCATTATAATTCGGACCACTCTATATAAGATAGATATAAGATAACCTTTTAATAAAAAAAATGTCTTTTTGCAGATAAACATGTTATTTTTGAAATATAAATGTCATTGTTGCACTCTGATTGGAATGTGTATACAGGTTGTCTGAAAAGTTAACTTTATAATTTTTAGGTTCTGAAAAACAAATTTTAAGCGTGTTTGATGTGATGAGAAAAATCAACTTTCATAGTCCTGGTGAGAATTTTAAAACTGATGGTTATGTGGTCACAGACAATACAGAGAAGCTTTTAAAGGAACATTTAAAGGTTACTGGAGGAAAAGTAAGGACCAGATTTCCACCAGAACCCAATGGAATTTTACACATTGGGCATGCAAAAGCCATTAATATAAATTTTGGCTATGCAGCGGCCAATGAAGGTTTATGCTTCTTAAGGTATGATGATACAAATCCGGAAAAAGAAGAAGAAAAGTTCTTCACTGGCATCCTGGACATCGTCACATGGTTAGGTAAGTAGAAAATGTGTTTTGTTTTATGTAATTTTTAGTTTTTGCTTTTTAGGCTATAAGCCGTACAAAATAACCCATTCTTCAGATTATTTTGATCAGTTGTATATTTGGGCCGTGAAATTAATTGAGAAAGGTCAGGCGTATGTTTGTCACCAAACTGCAGACGAAATGAAAGGTTTCAATCCTATGCCTTCTCCATGGAGGGATCGCCCAATTGAGGAAAATTTACAGTTATTTGAGGTATTTTTTCTAGTTTTTAGCTCTGTCAAAGGAGCTCTTGCAAGCTTTTCATCTTTAGGTTCTGTTACAATTGCACATTTCAAATTTATTACCTGTTGATGATGATTGTTCTAAACTCAGTTTTCACAGAAAAAATTCATTAGGCAAGAAGTTATTACATTTCAAGATATGTAATTACCTACGCCAATTTATCTGCTGTCAGGAAGATATTCTTGTGTAAGTGAGAATGGTCTTCAACTCACACACCTTCATATGTTAACTTTCTCTGTGCACTTAACTCCTTTTATTCCTGAAAATTTAATTCCATCTGGAGATATTTTGACAAAATACCTCGGCCACTTGAAAACTCAAGATTTTGAGATGCTCAACATGGCATCTGAGAGTTCTTTAATTTGACAATTTTCCGTTTAGATGTGGCATTTTTTCAGCAGTATTTTATCAAAATGTGTGCGACACGTATTATATCATCACATTAAAGTGAAAGGTGAAAGATAATAAAATAAAAACGTCTTAATAATTGCTTTATATTGTTTTAAAGTATTACAAATGTGTAGAATATAATGGTCTAGACTGTCTAGTAGATATTTTAAAAATTTTACTTCATTTTTGTGAAGAATATGTATATTTTTTATTATATTTAGCTCTATATCAAAATTATTTTACTAGGATTAACTAATATAAAATTAAATTTTAAGGAGAAGTTGAAGAAGCATTAAGAGGTACCATACGTGCAATATAGATTATTAAAAATAAATAAAAAAAAATATAAATTAAAACTATTTTTAATCAACTCATGGACTTTTAACTTGGCTGTTAGTACTTCCCCTGATGGTTCAATAGTGTTGTTTGTAACACTTTCACTTTCATGAATTTGAAAATGACTTCACCTTAAAAAGAAGAGGCAATTTTTAACATGCTAGCCCATCTTGTACTTACTTTTATTGACAACTACAGTAAGACACATCTTTGTGTTTTTTCTTGCAACAAACAAATCTTCTCTTTGCTTGAATGCAATTTTTACAAAAGGCATCTGCATAGTTTAAATATTTACGTATTAGTATTATGGTATTATTATGTAAAAAAAATAACACAAATATTTCGATCTCATACATTAATTTGCACTGTTTCTTTTAATTTGTAATACCACTTTAGATATTTTAATAAAATTTGGCTCACATCTATCAAGAGGCATTATTTAGGGTACCACATTTTTTTTAAAATATACCAGTGGTGGGCGTACGGAATTTCACCTGTCTATTTTGGCAGATATTGATCGTACGCCACTGATTTATTTTAAAATTAAAATTCTTACAATCTCCAATCTTTTTTTAAAGATTTTTTTTTCTATTATACAATGAACTCGCGTCTTTACTTAGATAGCTGCCCAGGTTTTTCCATATATCAACGAGTAAATTGGGCAATTTTTGCCAGTCGTTAAAATCGGACAAACACAAATACACCCACCCAAAGGCTCCCGGTGGGAATCGAACCCACAACCTCCGGCAAGTTCGAGTTGGCAGGTCAACGCCTTACCAACCGAGCCATCCTCGGTCCCTTAAAGAAATTTCATTTCTTTTTTTTTTTCAATCGATGTTCGGTTTTCGCTTAAAAAAATAAAAACCTGTTCTCTGCATGGTCAACAATATTGTTAATGATCGCATGCAGAGAAATTAATTTTTGTTTTTATGTGAAGACCGTGCGGCGGACTAAAAAAAAAAATAGATCAAATATGCTGATAAGTAAATGCAAATCTCTTTATCTTTTTAAGGATGTCAGTGACGTGCCTGGTTAAATCGAGAACTATTTTTTTGTGAAAATTAAAATATCTATCTAAAACAAAATATCTAGTTTTTAGTTACCAACTCCAAAAAAAAAAAGTTAGAAGACTTTTTTTTATGTCACGTTTAAATGAAATAACATAACACCGTAAAAACAAGATAACTAATAAAAGATTCTTATTAAAAAAACTACTTAATATTAATAATTTTTAACAAAATTATCTGTTAATAAATTAATAAAAATGGAAACTAGATGAGTTGTCGAAAGTGTCCTCCACCTTGAAGGATACAGGCTTCAGCTCGTTTCCTCATATTGCACTCTGTGAAGTATACCCCAGTGTTTCTTATTAAATTGCAGGAAGTTTTTATACTATCCTTAAGCTCTTCTATAGTGTTAACTTTTTAGATGCCCCCATAAGAAAAAGTCCAAACTATTTAAATCTGGGGACCGAGGGGGCCATGGTTGAGTCCGCCGTGTTCTACCTAAAATTTCTCAAAAGTTTAGATCTTCAGGATATATGTTCATGTGAAGTTTTCATTTTAAAATGGAGCCAAAAATCGAGCTCTTAATTATTGACATTCAATTAGAAAACACCATGTATATTAAATTGAAGTTGATTTTTCGAAGTAGGATATGAAGAATGGGAAAGTAGACGAGGGCGCCGCTACTCTAAGAATGAAAATAACTTTGGAAGAAGGTAAACTGGACCCCGTCGCATATAGGGTGCGTTTCACTCCCCATCATCGAACCGGAGATAAATGGTGTATTTACCCAACCTATGATTATACTCATTGCCTGTGTGATAGTATCGAACATATAACTCACTCTTTGTGCACGAAGGAGTTTCAATCCAGGTTAGTCGAAAACCAACCGTGAAGGACGTTTGTTGCATCTAAAGAATTTTAGGCGATCAAGTTATTATTGGTTGTGTAACACGCTTGATATTTATTGTCCGGTACAGTGGGAGTACGGCCGTTTGAACATGAATTATACGGTGGTCTCTAAAAGGAAAATAGGTAAACTAATCGAAGTAGGGATCGTGAAGGACTGGGACGATCCGAGATTGTTTACTCTCACCGCTTTGAGGAGAAGGGGATTCCCGCCAGAGACTGTCAATAATTTTTGCGCTCAACTCGGAGTTACTGGAGCGCAGAGCTCTGTGGATCCTTCAATGCTGGAAGCTTTTGTACGAGACAGTCTCAATAACTCCGCGCCTCGGTAAGGCTATAGTAGGTACTGCGTCGCTACGGCCAGACAGGTTGGTGCATTTGAACTACTTCGTATGCTTGACATATACTTCCATGAATATCTCCTTATAATTCAAATGTACCCACCTGTCTGGCCCTAGTTACACAATGCCCGTCAATTTCGCGCAATTGTCGAAGCTTCAGATCAATTTTTTTAGAACAATGGTGGTCTTGGAACCACTCAAAGTCACGATCGAAAACTATCCCAACGAAGGGCCGGTACAAGTCTCCATTCCCAATTTTCCAAATAAACCGGATTTGGGCCAGCACAGTATAACTTTTGATAAGGTTATATACATTGATAGGAGCGATTTTCAGGAAATCGGGGAGAAAGGGTACCGCCGCCTGACCAAGACACAACCGGTTGGCTTAAGGCACGCCGGGTATATTTTAGAAGTTGCAAGTGTTGAAAAAAATGCAGCCGGCCATGTCGTACAATTGTTCTGCAAGTGCGTCGATGTAGATAAGGCGTCGACCAAGCCAAAGGCTTTCGTTCATTGGGTTGCCGAGCCGCTAGAAATTGAAGTGAGGTTATATTCTTCTTTGTAAGTTGATTTAAATAGGCAGTTGAATAGAGCTGATCAATATGGTCGCCAGAGGACAAGGAAGGAAGGGGCACATTATCCTAAATTAAAAAAAAAATATTGATAATATGTTAAGGATAATAAAACGACTTTAATGCGTCGGTTTTAACGAAAAATTTGCTGATCGCTTAAATTTCGCCAAACGCAGATTTCTTAATTTTTTAATTTTTCGACTAGCAAACCTTCACTACCATTTTCTTGCAGTACAAATTCTTTGATTTAAATACTAATTCAGAGCTTTTAAAAACAACGTCTCGTCCAACACATTACCATGTCCATGTCTATCTGCGCCTGGGTCATAAACTAGCATTAAAACAAGTTTAATATTAGTTATTTGAGAAATACGTCAAAATTTGGATAAGAGGTTCACATTCGAGTGCGACAGTGCTTTTAACAAAATCACTAACATTAAAAAGTTCTACCCTAGTTATTTGACAAGTCATAGTTTCGTTATTGAGTCATTTGCAGTGTAATGTTTTGTACTGATTTACTTTATCAGCTACAAAAACAGTTGGATCTAGATTGGACCGCATTATAAGAAATTGCATTAAAAAAAAAAACAAAAAGTAACTTAAACAATAGTCCTCTAAAAAAGTATTGATCGATCAGTTGTCGACATGGGCATGCGCTTAAGCGGTTTAACCTAGGCGCGGCGAGTTTCGCTCCGACAATATTAATAATAATTTATTGTTATTGTTAAAACATTAACCATCAATAAATACATTATATTATTATTAACAATTAGAGCACACATTATCAAAAGTGAACAGTTACCAACAATAATTTTTTGGGCGAACTATAGTATAATTTTATTTCTGTCCGTAAAACTTGTATTTTTAAAAACGATTTTTATTCAATACGAGCGTTTACAGGCAGCGTTACGACAAGAAGCGACTTAAGAGACTGACTAAGCACATGCACAATACTTGTATTTATAGTATATAAAAGCTGAATAAGCTTATCCTTATCGAATGCGTTCTTATTATTATATGGGTCATCATAAATAGATATATAACTCCTCCCTCCTCAAGTCTGAGAAAATCGGGGTTGATTTTCGAGGGTTCTCAGTTCTATATCTACTTTTACATTTTGTTGTCTTTTCTTATAGTAACAATATACCCAAATTATTATACCTATGATTATAATAACAATTATTAATATTAAAGTAATTGGAACACCTAATTTTACAAAGTCCAAACGTTTTAGTGGGTAGGTTGCTAGATTTTGGGCATTTACTATATCCTCCTTTATATTTTTGAGATTAATTTCTCTTAATTGCAAAGGTTCGACATTTTGAACCAATTTCTCATCAATGGTTATTGATGGAAGTTTTAGTCTTAAATTAATTATGTCTATTTTTTGAGAATCATAATTATTATCCTGAATTTCAACGTTACAGTTTAACGGGAGAATTAAAGAGGCTTTCTTTATTATTTCAATACTTTGTTGATTTGGGCATTGGAAATATGCTTTTTCCTGTGAAGAGGGGATTACTAAAATTGAATTGTCTTTTAATTGAGGTTTCCAAGTATTTTACCTGTATCATTGGGCAATGGTTAGTTAAATTAATTGTTTGTGGAACGCATGGTTCATTTTTATTAAGTAAGCTTCGTGGGCATAACGATATTTCTTCAATTTTATAACAGTTTTCCTTTAGGTTGAAGAAATCATCCATGGATTTTAATAGATATGGGTTATTTATAACAGGTATATTATTATTTACAGGTATCGGGTAGATACGATAGAGAGTAAATGGTTTATTTAATATTAAAGGTATTGCCATATAGAATATAATAAGTTCATTCTTAATTACAACGTCTGTATGTATCACCTCATAATATTTAATAATATTATCAAAGGGAATTCGTGTTTTCGGGTCAAGTTTAGCGATGACGTTCTTAAGTTCTTTATACTTAAAAATGCTGTGATGCATTACGTTTATTTCTGCGAAGTTAATAGCAGTCTGTACGTTACTACGGATTTCATTAATAACGCGGAGATTGTTCTCTAAATTATCGAGTAAGATAATAAAATATGATGTCGTCGTTAGCGTCTGTGTCATTTTTGCTAAATAGTTAATCTGAGTTAGTATTTCTTGTTGATTATTTTTTATATTATTCAATTGGGAGTCTATGTCTTTTGTTAGTCGTTTAACAATCGTTTGAGTCGAGGATATATCTTGATGAAGAATTTCTTGATTTTCATGTAGTGTTTTAATATATTGATCATAACGTTTACCATCGTCTGCGTCTAAAGTACCAAATAAATACTTTTGAGCTTTTCCCCAGAAATTAAAGAGTCCTCTTTTTATTCTTTTATGTAAAGTAGTATAATGATTAATAAAAGTTTGAATAGATTCTGCTTGGTCTATAAGATCTAGAGTTCGGGTTATCAATAAGTGGCCTATAGGTGTATTTAAATTATTTAAAGTCGAATTAATACTTAAAAGCGTTGACTTTATTGCTTTTATACTATCTTGTAAATTAGTTAGATTAACATGATAGTAGACGTGATGGAAGTTCGTTATTATATAACTATCTCCTTCGTAGACTGGTAATAGAGGATTTTCTATTTCTTCTATTTTATATTGCGCACTCACAAGCATTGGCAGTAGGAGTACAGAAGCTTTCATTCTTATACCTGAAATTACAAACGTCTTTTAACATCTTTAGGGTGTCTTTGATTTTTAAATTCTATCAACTTATATTTAGGTTGTAGTTTTTGAGTTAGTTTTTGAGGTGTATTTATTAATTGATTTGTACCTTCGGGTATTTCAGGGTCATTTTCACGTTTTTCGTTTAGTTTAGCTAAGACATTCGCTTTCTTGGCATTAAGTTTCATATTTATTTTTTCATCAAGTTCGTCGAAAGTACGTGCGAGGTCATATATATAATCGGTTTGCAGTTGATTCAAGTTTTTCTCGAAATTTAGTTGGTAATTAAGATTTCCTTTTAGAATTTGGAAAGGAGTATATTCATAGGAAGAATGTATACTATTATTATAATTTAGAATTACAATATCCATTAGTTCTTGAATCGTTTTGGTACGGTGATCAGGGCAACAAGACTTTCCTTAATAGTTAAATGTAATCTTTCGACTGGTGAATTCGAGTTTGGGTTATATGGTGTAGTAAAGTGTAATTCTATTTTATATGTTTTACACAAATCCTCTAGTAATTTACTTTTAAATGTCTGCGCGTTGTCAGTTGTGATTTTACTTGGCGTACCATGGTGTGAAAAGAATTTGATTAGGTTTTGGCATATTTCGAGAGATGTCTCGTTGATAGGGTATGCCGCTGCAAATTTAGAAAAGTTGTCCAATATTGTAAGATATTTTTGTCCTGAGATTGAATATATATCCATATATATGTGTTCTAAAGGTTTAGATCCAATTGGCGTTGGTTTATAAATGACCTTGTAAGGATGTCTATCATATTTAGTTTTCTGGCATACTTCGCATAAATTAACAAAGTTAATTACGTCTCTTTCAAGACTTGGCCAATAATATTTTTGTTTGATATTTTTGATATTTTCCGTCATTCCTCGGTGAGATGTTTTTGTAGTATGATATCTGTTTACTATTTCTTTTTGTTCGTCCTGGTCGGTTACGTCTTCAAGCAAGGTGTTAGAGATAACTAATTTGAATGCATTATTTTTAAATGTTTCCTGGAAGGTTCTTATAATTACCGGTTCTAATTCTTTATTCCAAAAGTATAAGCAGTAAGTATCTGGTGGTAAGTTGTCTCGTAATAATATTTGAATTCTTTCCATTATTGGGTTTTCATTTATGTACATCATTATTCTCTTCTTAGTTTCAAATAGTTTTTCTATTTGAACGTGGGGTTGTTCTTTGTCAGTCCACTTAAATATAATTTGATTTTTAAACGTATTTATTGCTTTATTAACGTATGGTGCTCCTATGATTGGGTTTTCCATAGATGAATGTATAGTTTCCGTATCAGAGTTGCTTTTTTCGTTTTTCGTTACTTGCTCACTTATTGATGGTTGAGGGTTGTTTTCTTCGTCCGGTTGTGATATCTGATATTTTATTTTATTCGGAGGTTTTATTTGGATATCTGAAATTATGTTAATTTTGGGGTTCTTTACGATGTCGCTTTGATTTGGTAGCTGGCATACAAGAATTTCTATATTTTCATTTTTAAATATATAGTCGATCATTGCTTTTACTTTTTGCCAATCTAGTTGGTCTAAGCCGCAACCTATTTTAGGGATTGCTATCTTTACTATATAGTTTTCTTTAGCATGAGTTTTCATTTTATTTAGGGCTTTCCATAATGTGAAATAAGTAGGTTTTTTATTGGACTTTTCCTTAGTAATTAGGTAATAAATAAATCTATTATTTTTTTCATCAAATAGCGTAGCTATTCCTCCTGGTTTTGGATTTTGGTCTAGAAGATATTTTACATTTTTGAATTTATTTTTAAAGTCTACGGCGATGCCTTGTTCCATTCTAAGGTCAGCTGCAACACAATGTGCTAGCGAGTAGTTATTCTGTTCAAATAAATCACCTTTAACTTCCTTAATTATATTTGAATGTTCAATGGGTTTCCAATTGTCTTCGAATTTTTTAAATTGAGCAGATTCATTATCAGTCATTATTTTCTGTGGTTGTCCGAACAAATTTTCCTGTGATTCAAAAAAGTGTTTAATTTTTTCATGCCAAATGTATCGCTCATCTTTTCCTTAATTTTTTTCGCATACGGCGGACATGTGTGTTAATGGTGGTTTTAGTAGATCTACAGGGTGAATTTACCTTTTTTATATTGAACAATGTAGTCGAATTCCTGTAATTTTAATTTCCACCTGACTCATTTCGAGTTAGGTTCCTTAAGAGAGAAGAGCCATTGTAACGGCTTGTGATCCGTTATTATCGTAAATTTCCTACCAAACAGGTATGGTCTAAAATACTTAGTAGCCCACACGACAGCGAGAAGTTCTTTT